GTGTGTGTGTGTGTGTGTGTGTGTGTGTGTGTGTGTGAATTTTTTCAGTGAAAAAATGGATATACAAAAGCTTTTTTAAGAAAGTATCAATCATCACTGTTGGTAGTAACCATAAACATATATAAACGTAGAGACCTCATAGGTGTGCCGCTGATGCTGCTGTTGAGCCGCGGGGCCGCCATCTTGGAAAAGTCGCTGGCTCCTCCTCTCAGTGTGATCTGTTCGGCAGCCACAATGAAGTATCAGCCTGTTTAATCAATCATAACTGTTTTAAACACTTTGTTTATTTATTTATTTATTTATTTATTTATTTATTTATTTATTTATTTATTGCTGGAAACAAACACATAGCTATCACAGCTGTATGTATAAGAAGAATACACGGTTCAGCTTATTTAAGTATTCTTAGTAGGGTAACTAAAAGAACATTTTAATGTGTATTTGCAAAACACAACTCACACATTTTTATATATTTTTTATTTAATATTGACTGTCTGTCTATCTAAGCAAACAATATTACAAAAATAAAGAAGCATGGTGATGAAATGATTATACAATTTGAATATAATAATAAAAAATATATAATATTTGTGTTGTATGGAAATATGATGATAACAAAACTGTTTCGATGCGTATCTGTTGATAATGAACCAAAGCTGCAGAAATGGTTAGTAAGTTTGTTTGAAAGTTAGTCCAGTCAGACGTTGTGTTTTCTGTGTTTTGAAGTAAGGATATGATGAGACATTCATCATAACATTCTTGTTTCAGTTAATCTAAATCTGTGTTAGAGAGTAATTAAATGGTTTATAAAGTCTCAGTGAACCTTCACAGTCAGGTAAACACCAGCACCAAACACAACTTTAGCTGACATTTATTACAGTACACTAATATCCATTTCACAAAATACTAAAAATAATATGTTTATCTTACTTGTGAAAAGTTTTCCCCTGAGCCCTGATGTCAGATGTGATCTGGACAAAATGCTGCAGAGTGCTGAGGCAGACTCAGCCAAGTAGGACCAATAATGTATTTTCATGTATGTATTCATTCAGATATTCAGGTTGTACTTCATGTAACCCAGCAGCCAACTGGAGGTCTTTATAAATGTCTATAGTGGTAACAATTAGCTCCAGCACCAAGCTAACAGCAAAAAGTCCCATGCATTTAATGATGCAAGTGCTCCGTTTGACAAATAAAACCTGGTTTGCACGCTACAAACGATAATTACAAATAACTCTGCTACTTTCTAACGAGTCAAAAATGCATTTTGAAGGTTCTAGGTGTTCATCGTCATGTGCACTCTTTGATATCTACTGTCTTTGGGTGGTCTTCCTTCTGGAGTGCCAGTTGTTTCTTACTTTACACATGGATGCTTCCACATCATGTCTCATTCTCATCAGTGGATAATAATAATACACTAATAATAAATACTTTACCATCCCTATAGACCTGTAGGAGTCAGGGCAGAGGAGCACAGGGAGTGAGAGAGGACAGACCTCTTCTGGAAAGTGAGTCTAAAGCAGGAGTCACCAACGCTGAGGAGCAAGGACCAAATAGAGGCACAGTGTAGTGATGATATTCAAAGATCTATGTAAAAAATTTAAAAGTTTAGTTTTGGGGTATTTTTGAGTTGTTGTTGAATTATTTGACATTGAATGGATTTTAAAATAACTATTGGGGGAAAAAACAATAATTTGAAGGTATTGTTCTTTAAATAAATGTTACTGAAATTATACTTTGCACAAATATCTAAATATGTATATAATATAAACATATAGTATACCAAATATACAAAAACCCTGCACATCTCCTGGAGGCTAAGCCCCCCATTTCATTAAAACCTAGTGATGCCCCTGAGGTTTAAAACTGTTCTGCAGGGTTTAGGTTAGATGTTAAATGTTTCTGGTCAGGAACACTAACTATTACTATTTCTTATCCTGTCTTGTGACGAGCTCACCTTCTTCACTCTGAATGTTTAAATAAAGGTGAAGATTACTTGGTGACACATTAAGTTTAGTACTTTCCTGACCGCAATGCCTGACAGACACAGCTGAGGGAAAAATACTTATGGATGAAACAGCTGATTGATATTTAGGAAAACTAAAATAAGGACAAAAATCCAAATAAAATGGGCCTCATGCAAGAACATGTTGGTATTCTTCTCCTAAATTTCTCTTCCTTTTGTTCGTACAAAGGGTTCGTACGAACATGTCACGTCAGATTCAACAAACTCTTCTATCTTCAGGAAAAGTGTGTAAATGAGCTGCGTAAATTCACCTGTTCGTATCCAGCTGCTCGTGCACGCGAGAGGAGATTAGCATAATTACCACCCCAAAACACCATATAAGGCTGTGTTTCCTGCCTCAGATATCAGGAAGTGTCCATTCATGAAAATGACAGTGAAAACTAAAAAGAAGAACTTTACGAGTTCAGAGATTGAAGTCCGTCTGTCAGAGATCCAGAAAAGAAAATCTGTCATTTTTAGCAGGTCAGCTGTGGAATAAAAAGAGCTGCTAAAAGTATAAACAACTGTGTTAAATCATTTTCATTTATTCAGAAGACACAGCGCTGCGCACCGTGCTGTGCACTCGTACGCACAACTTAAGTACAAATCTGTGCGTACCAACGGTTCTTGCATGAGGCCCAATGTTTTTTATTTTTATTTTTTACATGACAACAAAATTATTTTAAAACACCCACAAAAATATACTTTTAAAAACAGACAAATAAAACACGTAAACATTTTTCCATCATTGTTGTCATTGTGTTCATTGTTGATTGAATATGCTCTTTCATTTTGTGTCTGCACAGCTGCAGCTGTGGTGAATTCATGTGCACCCATCCATCAACAAACAAACAAACATGCAAACAAGCAAACAAACAAACAAACAAACAAAACAAAAACAGAACATTCATCTGAAACATTTAAAGTAATCTGAGATCTTGATAATTGACTTTAATCTGCTGTTGTTGTTTGCAGGTCTGCTCCTCAGGTTTGAAGGACTGCTCTCTCCTGTTGAGTAAATTGGGGTCATGATGACATTTTATAAACCCATCAGAGTTTCTAAAAACCAATAAAGCAGAGTGACTGTCTATCTAATCCTGTGCTGCTCTGCTGTGTGGTTATTTCTGGGGGAGAAAAAGAAAGAATGATTAATCTTATTGGATTATTTACATTGCCCTCAACATGATTGAGCCTCAGAAATGAAATTAAAATGTGTGTTGAACGGGATTTTCCAGGAAAGTCCTGTAAAAACCACGATGGTAATAAGGAATGACTAATTCTCTAAAGTCGATTAAACGTCCTGCGGGAAAATCCAGGCAGCTGTAGGACCATGAAGACCAAGATTAGATGAGCGAGGCCACAGGAGGAGGAAAATTAATCTGTTTCATTCCTTCTTTTATTTTTATTATTCAATGGGTCCTTGTCCTGACAGCTTAACTCTGCTGGATCAGTGCAAAAACAAGCTGTTAGACACACAAAGCTGAGGAGCAACGGGTCCTCAGGGGCCAGAGGCTCCCAGTGGTCCCAGAGGAACTCAGACTTTTTCTGTTTAGACATGAAGGTTTGGCTGCAGGAGGTGATGTAAGTACTTCCTGTCTTTTGCACCATTCTCTTTGAGTTTGTAGAACCTAATGGATCTCTAGTAGCTGCCAAAAACCTGGACCTCGGTGCTGAAAGTGTCCTGCTTCCTGAAGCATCCTTTCTGAACCTGCAGGACTAAACACCATTAAAATGGGTCGATCTAGCTTCCATCCTGCAGATGAGTTCTCTGGATGGCTGACTGACTAA